GAGAAGAAGAAGGAGATGGGGAAGGGGAAGGGGAAGGAGAAGGAGAAGGAGAAGGAGAAGGAGAAGGAGAAGGAGAAGGAGAAGGAGAAGGAAAAGGAAAAGGAAAAGGAAAAGGAAAAGGAAGAAGCCAAATGGAAGGATTTGGCTCCACGAGAAAAAATCTGGAATCCTTGCTCATTTATTTCCTCGGCACAACTAGCAGGAGTGTCACTGAGTATTTATCTGTGGAGAAGTTATAAGCTGAGTGATCACTTATAACTGAAAGGTAACCTCCAGGTTTAAGGACAGCAGAGAGAGGTGCCACTCAGCCACGGGCAGACAGAAAGGTTGAAATCCCTCCTTGTGATGGGCTGGATGTAGCACACATCGATGCCCAAGTAAGAATAACCCCCAGGGCAATCCATAAAGGAGAATGACCTCCTAGGCAGGACAAACCTGGCAGCGGCAGCTCCAAGATGCACAAAAACTGTGTTACCCAACCTCTGCTGAGGAGCAGCAGATGGGACCGCTTTTTATATGTACATACACGTAAGTGTTTGCAGAGAGGAAGGGTTCCTACTTAGTTTGGTCTGCTAAGGCAGTTATTGTCTCATTTGACAAGTCTTGGAGCAAGCAGTTTAGTGATTTTCCATAATAATTTAAGCAATTCCAAAATAATTTATTTTTACATCACAGTAGATGATCATAATAAAGAAACTTCTGCACTTTTGGCTATAATCAAATCCTGTGGGACTATAACCTGAATCTGGGCTCTGTTCATATCCAGGTTTAAAGGTATGGAAGGATCCTTTTAATACAAGCTGTGCCAGTGGGATATTTACCAATAATGCCATGTTTATTATGCTTTGCAGTAGGAATTACTGAACAAGAGTCATCAAAGCGCTATAATCACCTGTTGGATGGAAAAACTTTGGTAAGTAAATACAACAAGGCCAACTATCACTATCTGATGCATCTTAAAATCCAGTACCTGTCAGCATGTCCCACATTAACAACATGTCAGTTTGTTGCAATATGTGCAGATCTCAGTCTTTGTTAAGGCTTTGAAAAAATTATGCCAGAGGCTTCTTAAGTGGAAGCGGAGACTGGCATAGGACATCTGCCCCTCAGGAAACCAGGAAGGGTTGTGGGATGGAAATGGGCATGCTCCAGTTCTGGATACTCAGCCACCTGCAAGAGCTGGGAGAAATTAGCCTCTTGTTTCTCAGGGAATTTCACAAATTGGAAAAAAAAATAAATTTATAAAGTGGAACAAGCATCAAATAATTCATATTCACCAGAATGCCAACCTGACATGATAATCAGATCAGTCAAAAATGTCAGTAAAGAGTTGATGGGAAAATCATCATAAAAAAACCCCAAAATTCAGTATTGCCAGTAAAATCAGTAAGTGTGTTTATTGCCTGAAATGATGAGAGCACATCACAATTTTTGACATTTTCTTCTATTTCTGGGCAACGCACACTTTATCTTACCATCCTGGAGGATATGCCCGTCTCAGTGGCCTGTTTATGGGAAAATGTGATTCAGTTATGGCAGACAATTTATGATCAAGTAAGTCAAGAATGTCAATGATTAGACACTTGTGGGGCATGAACCAGGGCCCCCCATACCACAGGTCAGCACTCAGCAAAATGGGGAAACATTTCTGAACACTTAAGAAACGGCAGTGGCTGGGACAGCTGCTCCCCAGGCAGCGATGGAGGTGGCCTGTGAAGAGCTGCAGGAGGCAGGCTGCTCAATCTACACAAAGCCTCGCCTCCTCAGGAAGACAGACATAAAAAAACTAGGGAAAAAAAAGTTCTGCAAGCCTCCCTCCTTTGATGGGAGGTGTAATTCTTGCTCATGCAAGCCCTGTGCTGAGCTCAGTGAGACATTCATGTGAGCAGCCAGTATCTGTGTGGGTAAGAGTTGGGCAGTCAGGTCCTTAGCCAGTTTGCTTTCTCTTGTTAAGAGATCTACAGTACTTATTTATTTTCCTAAAAGAGCCTCTTTCCTCAGGCAAACCTGGGGTCCCTACTCATCAGTGGCATTTCCTAATGCCTTGCTTTTTCGCTCCGCAGCTCCCGCCATCACCAGTTGCCCATATCACAGTGAAAGCGGCGGCTGTCACAGACTCCACTGCAGGTGACGGCACTCCTAAAGACCTGTAAGTCCCTTCCCACCCCTCCAGCCAAACCTGGGGGGCTGCGTGCAGGGTGCTGCCAGCAGGGAAGGGGATGGGGCATCTCCGCCACAGGTCACCCTCTCACCAGAAATACAAAGAAGTGTTCAGCTGCAGGTCTTCTCTGAATTGCAGCTGTAAAACCTCAGTGGTTTGCAGTAAAGCCATGTTGCTTGCTTCCCAAAGGCAGGGAGAGATTGGCTAAAGGACATGCTGATTATATCGTCAGCCATGGCTGTTTATACAGCTGCCCCGGTACCAGTTACAACTCTGTTTCATCACTAGAAAAAAAACTAAATTCAAAATTTAATTATTTTCACCCTACAAAGTCTATAACATTTGCCCTAAGGCAGCTTAGTCTATGTAATTCAATATTTTTTTAAAAAAGCTTTATTGTTTTTAACTGTAATTAAGGACCAGCTTGATTATGATACAGAGACACTCATCAGTACACAGTTAACCCAGACAAGGGTCCAGGTGATATTTGAGATGCTGCCTTTGCCACTTGAGGGACAGTGAGAAGCTTGTGGTCACAGCGTCCTCGCACTGCATACACAGAGACCTAATGTCAGTGTAGCCCCCTCGGCCAGGTGGAGCTCACCCTGCCTGGGCACTGCTACATCATCCCTGGGGCTTCCATTGGAGGGCCCAGCTCTGTCCCTAGGCCATATGCCAGCTTGTTCTCTGGTGGCAAACACTACAGAGGATACCCCTAGTAACAGTGCCACTTGTAGCCCATCCCCTCGTGTGAGTGTTCACCTTGATATCAAGTGGATGAGGGGCTCTGAGGAGAGGCGGGGCAGCAGGGAGGGGGCAGCTGTGGTGTCCAAGCCCACTGCCCCACACAGCCCCTGCTCACCCCGGACTCACCAATCCCAAGGACTGGCCAGGTGCAAATATACCTTGGCAAACGGGCAGCCCTTGGTTTTCAGCCCCTGGTCATCAAAAGCAGGGAGGAAAAGCCACAGAGATGAATGCTCACCCATCTGTGCTTTATTTGCTAGTCATGGGCAGAGCTGGAGGAAGACGGCAGAGTATGACCTGACCCTGCCACTGGCAGCAGAAGCTTCCCTGCCGCTGACAGGAGGCAACTTGTGCGGAACACCCAGCCTCCTGAGGAAGATGTGGATGAAGCACAAGAAGAAGTCAGAGTACCTGGGGGCAACAAACAGTGCCTTTGAAGCAGACTGATAAGGCTCAGCATCATTTGGAAAGACAGAAAGTCCATTAGCGAGGACAAGGTGCTCTGAGATCAGTGAGGGAACAGACACAGCACAGCTCATCCAGGAAAAAAAAATATCCTTTTTATTACTTGATGCCATTGCCTCAGAGCAGTATGAGAAGGGCTAACTAAGGTAAAAATGGTAAATGTAATGCAACTCACTGGCCTTTCTTTGTTGCAGTATACTAAAATCTCAAGTATCCCCCTAGATCTACATCTTGGCTCAATGATGCTGAAACTACCTACCACTGGCTCATTCATCATTTTACATGTCCTGTCTGAATCAGCTCAAGAAAACAAGAAAAGCCTACCAAGCAGTTTATGTATTCCTCCAAGGTAACAGATCAATGACATTAAATCCCAGGGGGCTGCTCATTGTGTACCACGGCTTCCCCCTCTCATATCAAGAAATTACTACATCTTACAACATGCCTGGTTGAATGACATATGCTAACATCTTCTTTTCTTTAGTTTTGATGCTTAAAGACAGGAGTAAAAGATGCAAAAATTTTAAAAGAATGGGTCAGAACTGAGCAAGTTTGCAAACACACATTTACCAAAATTTTCTATGTGACAAGTGATTGGTGTTTCAAAGTGTCCTGCCAGATCAAACTGTGAGCAACAGGATAACCTCAGGAGATACTCTCTTCCATAGAACCTGCTTATACATTAAGTGGTAGTCAGCAACTTACTGTCTGCCTGTGTGGTACAGGATATTTCACTAAGTGCACAAAATATCAGGAGGAAAGAAAATACCTAAATAGTGCAACTAGGTGACTGAACATGAGAAACTTGCATATAGGAGACCCATGCTTATAATAGATGTATTTAATGGAACTTGATTAAAGTTTTTCTCAAATTTTTTTTCAATTTAGAAATTACTGGTCATGGGACCTTGGGTTTTCCTCTAAAAAAAAAAAAAGTTTTACAAAAAAGGTTTTGACAGTATTACAGACAGTATTCTATTAGTCATTAACACTACTTGCCTCATATGAGTGCTCCTCTGGTTGTTATAAAAGACTTTGATTTGCCTAAATACAGAACTTTAAATACATCAAGGAAGGTTTAGACTGGATATTAGGAATATCCAATCCAGTTTAGACTGGATATTCTTTACAGCAAGGGTTGTTAGGTGTTGGAATGGGCTGCCCAGGGAGGTGGTGGAGTCCCCAGCCCAAGTCGGGTTGACATAGCGCTGAGGGATATGGTGTAGTTGGGAACTGTCAGTGCTAGGTTCATGGTTGGACTGGATGATTTTCAAGGTCTTTTCCAACCTAGATGATTCTGTGAAATATAAAACTGGGGGAAGCATATCTCCTGTTGCTCATAGTAATGACGATCTTCTCTAATCTAACTGCCAGTGTTCCAAAGCATAAATGAAAAATAAAGGTCTTACTCTATAACAGAATCAGAGGAAAGAAGCTCCCATCTGAACCTTTCTTTCCTGCAGCTGGTGTAGTGGAAGGCACTGAGGTGTTGTCAAACACAGTGCCACAGTACTAAGGTGAGGAGGCTCCAGAGCTGAGAACCCACCAAAGGTCTGAACCATTCATTAGCAGTGTTAGCAGCTATTACAGCTCCTTCCTCTACTACTACAACCACCTGGGAAACTTCTGCACTTGGGGTACCTACTGACTTCATCCACTGCTTGTGTTAAGATTGTCTTCAACCTGGACTTAGAAAAAAATCATATTCTGAATTTCTCTTACAGTGCAGGACAGAGGGCGTCTTGGATTGCAACCTGCATAGCTGCAGGCTGGGGCAGTTATCCCCAGTCAGGGGTCACCAGCAGCAGGGTACCACCTGGATGGGAGGGAAAAGCTGCAAAAGCAGCCAGATCCTCTGGCTTTGGTGTGAGCAGAGTGGAACAGCACACAGGAAAGGTTTGCAGCTTGACAACCTGAGCAACCGAAGTCCATGAGGTAGGAAAGCAACTGGAGTGGCCTGATAGCTTTACTGAGCAAAAGTCCCCAGTGGCTCCAAGGAGGGCTGTGGGGACACCTGTGTGAGGCTGGGCGTGCTGGAGAAGGCAGTAGGATGGGGAAAAAAAAGGCACTATGGCTTTTCATACAGCCAGGGCCAACTCAGTCCAGAGTCTGCTAAGGAGGGGAAAGGCACTAGCCCATTATAAAATCTTTCTGTCAGGCCTTGTGTTCATCTGTCCATCACTGCTTCAGTCACAGGCTTCTCCTTCACAGATGCTCAACAACTCACAGGGGACAGCCTTGCAGCTAGAAATCATACAGACTGTCCTCCTTACCAAAGGCAAAAGTCCTGTCCCAGCAGTGTGAAAGAGGGGTGATTTGCTCTCCTGATTTTCTTTCGTCCTTCTGAGAAAGAAGGAGAAGACAGATTCTTGTTAATCATGCACTGAAGGGCCCCAGCTGCTGGCAAGACAAGGAGGAGATGGTGGTCCAGTATTGACCATGTGTGGCCAGCCATGGCATGCAAGAGCAATGCCGATGCCCAGTGAAGGCTGCACACCTGCACAGCACCAGGGCAATTTTCCCACAGGGGCCCACCCCACCTTTAAATTAGAGCCTGACACATTGACCCTGTGTAGTAGTCTGGACACCGTTACCCTGCCAACATCAGGTCCTCCGTGACTGAACCAAGCTGGAGCCACAGCCAAGATTTTCCTGAAACATCTTTGACAAATATCACTAACCACACTACAAACCCCTCCCCAGCCCATACAAATCCTGCCAGAAGCCTTGGCTTTGTAGGCACACACTATTTTTACACATATAGGTAAACCTAATACATACAGTAGGACTACTCTCTTGCACAACCACGCATACACTCAAGGAGTAAGGAGAATAGTAATCACCAGTTCCCTTTTTTGGTCTCATTCCCTAAGTAAAGCAAAAATAAGGAAGATGGACAGACACTGGGAAAAGTCCATTTGCTGAATTTGGGATAATTAAGCCAGTGAGCTTTTGTGGTACCTGCCCTCGTAGCTAACATGAGCCATAGAGAACCCAACACACAGTCCAGCACAGCAAGAGTTTTGTCTGTTGAGAAAGCTGTGTCGTAGTATTTAATTTGTTAATTAATAGCATTAAGCAGTATGAGGATGGAGGCAAAGAGGAAATGATTAATGTTTCTACCTAATAATTTCTGTATCTTGAAATGTGTATTTATGTTTTTCTTATTTATTTAATTTATGATTTGGATCTACAAAAGGAGGAGAGATTTACAAGCATATTTAATTTCTCTGTATTCCAGTAACTATGGTGGAGATTTCCTGTATTGTAGTAGACACTTACTTTATTGATTCAAAATAAAATATGTCTTATTCATTAAAAAAAATAAATAAAAACAGTAGCATATGGTAACATGTGGGTCTCAGTGACTTATAAGCTTTTGGGAAGCATTTAGTAAAGGCAGGGTTTATAGTACTGAAGAATATGAACACCTGATAGCAAACCCCCAAATTTTTCTCCCCTCAGGGAGAGCCCAGAAGTGTATGTTTGTGAGCAGCTCCAATATTTTACGGATGGTAGAATCATTGTTTGTTATCAGATACTCAGAGAAAAGCCCTGGCACTACCAGCAGTTACACATTAGGTACACATTTACACACCTAACCTCAAGCATATTACTGACATGATGGTTAGCCTCACTGTGGCCCTGGGAAGTAAGCAGTGTCACCTCCCTCCCATCAAACAAGAACATCGAGACAGAGACTCCTTGAGGGTACTTAAAGCTCTGGTAGAGAATAAAACCAAGTGTTCCCCATCTTCAGTCCCACCAGTTGACAGCAAAGTCATTTAACTTACCTCAAACACAACAATGCCTTTGGAAATCCTGTGCTGAAACACAGCCCAACCCAAAGTGGGTTCCATAGGGACAGAGGAGCCCAGGCTAAGGGACCTGACTCAGGACTGCAAGGGGAAAGACTTTAAGATAGAAGGAAAGAAAACTATAGTGTTGGCATCATTCAGCAACCCGGACTTTGGAAAGCCCATCTGTTAGAGGATGACGTGCCCCCCCTGCCTACCACACTGCCCATACCCCTCACAGCTCTGGTGAAATGATGCCATGTTTCTGGTCCTCCCATTGCAGACAGTGTCTATGTCTAGAATGAGCAACCAGGGAGTGTCCTCTCAGTGAGTGTCCACACCACAGGACTTGGCACAGATTTTTTCCAGGACATGGGGTAACAACCTGGCCTCTGCTGGGGACTCCTCTGCGAATACCCAACCTTTAGTCATGCATTAAAAATATCCACATGAGTATGGAAAAGGATGTTGGTATGCCATACATTTTTCCAGATGAAACTGTACAGAAAGCAATGTTGGGTTGACTCCAGCACACCATCAGAAAAATGTGAAATAGTGATTAAAGAAATAAGTGAACTGTACCATTTTTCCATCAAAGACAAAAAAAGTTGTTAAACTGTGCAGCTGAAAGCATCGCCTCTGGCACTCCCTGACACAAGCATGTTGTCATTCTTTATAACATCTGTGTGAGAAGATGCATTTTTCAGACATGTGTCATGTCATTTTATAATTTTGGGTTCTCCAGAACTAGAGACTAACTGGGGCACCGACCTGACTGAAATAGACTTCTTGATGACAGTCCATCACACTTACAGTAATTTATATTTAATTTAAAAAAAAAAAAAAGTTTCTAATTTCTTCTCACCATTTCAAAAACATCTTTGTGATAGAACTACTCACTAAAATATCCATCATTATTTTGCATACCACTTTATTTAAATAAACTGTAGTGAATTTAAAACTAGACTACTATATAAAGTAATTCCTACTGATGCATGAAAAAAAAAAATCTCAGATATGCTTTGCCCACCTTTCTTCCCCTTTTGAACTCACTTTACAGATCCTGTAACAAACAAGTTTGCCAGAAGAGCTGATCACAGGCATATTGCTGTTTGGGGGAATACCAAACACTTTTTACAGAAAATATTTTTAACTCAAACATTGGCATCTGCAGAATAATTTCACATCTGGGAGTTACCCAGCCAGAAAAGTTGCAATATCAGGACTTGCACACACAAACAAAACTGAAACAAGTCAGATTTTTCAGATTAAATCCCTGCTCAAAAATTCATATGTGAACTCTACAAACAATGCAGATGTCAAATAGTCATAAATATTTTATGAGAGATTTTTAAAATCTCGGCATTAACTCTATAGATTATTCACAAGTGAGCAGCTCGACCCTACATGGCATTGAAACCCTTTTTTTTTTTTTTTTAAGTGACAGAACTATTATTTAAATGAACGGGCACACAGATCACTAAAAAAAATGAAGTGTTTAGAAGGAAAAAAAGAGTTGAATATTTAATTAAGTTAGATGAAGGCCCAGAGAAACCAAGCAGCTGAGCTCAAAGGGGGACAATTCAGGATGAAATGGAGAGATGTGTGAATGATGTCTCTCTTCTCAGCCAGCAGGTTGAAGTCACTACAACAAGAGTTGTCATTTTTAACAGCTTTATTAACAAGCCCTGTGGAGCAACCAGGGGCCCCACAGCTGACCCAAAGGTGGGAGACAAGGGCAGACACTGGCTGGCAGCCCCCGGTCCTGGCCAGGTGTTTCGACTCGTCACACCTCCCACCCTGCAGATTCACCTACCTAACACTTTACTCTGCTTTATTTTAAACCAACATTTTCCTACTGTGCCGTCATGTTTTGCATAGCAGTGAAATAGTAAGAGGCATCATCAGGCAAATAGACTGAGTGTTCCCTTTTGGAGGGGGGGGGGGAGGTGTGTTCACTGGACCATAAAGCAGAAGAGACATGCAAAAGGCTCCACAGAGTGCACAGTCCTTCCCCTGCTATGTGTGACGAGGCACTTTTTGGTGAAACGAGCCCTCAGCACAGCCATGTCGGGAGCTGGTACTGCAAAACCAGCCACTCTGCTGAAGCGTTGTCTGCTCCTGCACTTTGCCAGCAAAAGCAAAGCTGAGGTTCAGAAAGCAACGGCATCTTCATCAAGGCCATTGTCTGAGTAACAAGGACCACTAAACACACAGCAACAGCTTGCAGGTTTCAGGCTACTATAGCCCGGGAGTGCAGTGACAAGCCTAGCAAGACCATATAACTGCTAGACTGCCAGAAAGTCTTGCAAGTATTTATTTTCTAATAAAGACTTTAACCTTTTCTGTAAAAACTGCAACCCT